ACAAATCAGATTTTATTGAAAATAAATTTGGTGTGCCACAGGGTAGTGTGTTGGGACCATTATTATTCATTATATATATAAATGACCTACCTAAAGCCATTAATTACAACTGTGTCTTATTCGCTGACGATAGCACAATTATATTTACGGGCAAGGACAAAACTCAGATTGAACTTGACATAAATCACACATTAACCACTATCATACAATGGTTGACTTTAAATAACCTTAAAGTTAACTTAGAAAAAACTAAATTAATGGCGTTTCAAAATAGGACTCCCAAGTTAGTAGATGACATAAATATTCACCACTCGCAGACCAAGATTGAGATAGTTGATACAACCAGATTTTTGGGATTGCAGATGGATTCGCAGCTGAGTTGGAAGCTGCATGCGGAAACGTTGTGCTCGAGACTTAGTCAGTACTCGTACGCAATATACATGTTGTCTAGAACGGTCAATACGTCAGCTGTTCTTACGGCATACCATGGGTATGTCACCCCCATATTAAAATTTGGTGCAATGTTCTGGGGCAATTGTACAGAAAGAGACGCGATTTTTAGAGCTCAGAAAAGATGCGTCAGAGCCATATTCAGAATGAAACAAACCGAAAGTTGTAGATCTACATTTGTTAATATTAAGATAATGACATTCCCGTGTATTTATATTTTTGACCTAATAATGTTTGCTAGGCAAAATACAAATCTCTTTCCAAAATTAAAAAGTAGGAGACGACAGTTAAAACTAAGCTGCATGCCAAACAGAACTGGACTCCTAAGTAAAAGTGTTTTCTGCATGATACCTAGATTATACAACCATTTACCCACCATATTATTGGAAACAACAAACGACCATTCATTTAAAAGTAAATTAAAATGTCTACTTTTGGCAAAAGCCTATTACTCCATAAAGGAATTTTTAGAGGACAATATATCCGGAATCGAAATGTAAATACTGGAGCACACAGATACACTATTAATGTATGAGTAACTGTATGACATTAAATTTTAATTGTATTTTAGATAGTAACAATTTTATTAAATATTATGTATAGATGATATTCGATTTTGTGACATATTAGAATTTTTATCGACAAAGATTTAAAACTTTAATTTACCTATATGCTATTTTCTGACTTAATAATAATAGTTATTCCTTATGACGTAAACCCACTATTTTTGACCTTAAAATTAATCTTTTTTATCTTGACTTAAATTGTTGTCACTTAACTTTGCATGGCGAAAGCCGGAATATGGCGATCTATATTATTATATGACTGTATAAACTATGAACAACATGATGTACCCATATTTGTGCAAATAAATAATTTGAATTTGAATTTGAATTTGAATTTTTTTGGTTTTGTTTTTTAGTAAGTTCTGTAATTAGTATAATGCGTCAAGCGTGTCTTTGCATTGTTCTCACATATACGTACAGTATTGGAATATGTATCAGAGACATTGTAGACAATACTTTTTTAAAAAGAGTAACGAATGGAGTTTCGTGCTCGTTCTTCTCCATTCGAATCTACATTTTGGAATGAGCACCTAGCTTCACGTAGCTTTACTGACGGACTGACTGACAGACTATTATTTATTTTGTATTCGTTGACGTTTCAAAAATACTAAATTATGGTTTAATCAATATAATTACTTTGACTTTGACTTTGATCAATTATTAATTTGTGTGATCCAGAAGTTGTTGTTCCGCGTATATGTGTGATGTGTATGTGAACTTGTATGTTTGTAAACGCACACACGACACAGAAGACAATTCTAGTATCATACTTATACCGATTATTATTATAAAAAACAAATCATAAAAGCAAATAAAATATTTATTTCGAAAAAATACACACTTCTTTATATTTAATAAGAAAAAAACTTGGTATCATATTTTTTTTTATATTTTCCAGCGTTGCTTCTGAATCCAAAAGTGATCTGAAAACAAAAACGCAATTGACAAGATTAAATAATTTTCCATCATCTTCACTGACTGCCTCGTTGGCCGAGTGATCGCAAGTGCGACTGCCGGGCAAGGGGTCTCGGGTCCGACTCCCGGGTCGGGCAAAGTATTACTAGGTTTTTAAAAATTCTCAGTAGTAGCATTGAGTGTGGAACTGTGCCCGGTATATGGCAATAGGCTCACCCCCTATTACATAGGACTCATAACATAAATAGTGAAAAGTGTGTGTTACATTGTACAGTGGCATTAAGTGCCGTAATGTGCACCTCTGCCTACCCCTTCGGGGATAAAAAGGCGTGATGTTATGTTATGTTATTTAACTTAGTATTTAACCACATAGGCATGAACTAAAGTATTTACTCAATACTCAATACTCAATACGTATTATAAGTACCTGTATTATTACATCGCGGAGGCAGAAGCGGCAAACTGTATGAAACAAAGAAAAGATAAATAAATAAATGAACATAAAATATCATCGTGAGACATACTAAATTAAGTAAAAACCCGGGTTACTCACGTGAATATACTAAGAAAAGCTCTACTAGTTTCGAACCACAGAGGGGTTATTCCTCATGAGCAGCGGTCGCGGCGACGCGCACGCCCCTCTGTGGTTCGAAACTAGTAGAGCTTTTCTCAGTATATTCACGTGAGTAACCCGCGTTTTTACTTAATAAAATATCAGGTTTTTATGAAATTAAAATACCAATGTAACTAAGTACAAACAATGAAAAAATAAATAAATATGTACAACTTAAGATACGTACACAAAAATTAAATAAGAGAAAACTAAAAATAAGTATTCACAGAGAGCATTAAAAAATTCGTCCGCATCGACGTCAGTAGGGAAAGTACCCAGAAGGCTGACAGCATTGCCACGTTGTATGGCAATGCTTAACATCTGACCGAGAGATAGACCAGCCCTCAGGTCACGAGATGCGTCGACCAGGCGTTTCAAAATCCTTATCCTTACTAATATTATAAATCTGAAAGTGAGTTTGTTTGTTTGTTTGTTTGTTCCACCTTCACGCCGTAACTACTCAACCGATTGCTTTGCATTTTTGCAGGCGTAAAGTTAGAAGTCCGGATTAAATAATAGGGTACTTTTTAACCCGGAAAAAATTGATATTCCTGAGGAAAACAAAAGTATTGGTATAGATGGCGCTGTGTGTATTGGTATATGTCACATAGGCTACTTTTTATTATTTTGTGACGTGAGCAAAGCCGCGGGTAAAAGCTAGTGTTTTTATATAAACTATCATTATTCACAACCTGCTTGGCTCCTTATTGACCGTAGCGTGATGTGAGCCTACTACCTGTCCCCGCGACTTCGTCCGCGTGTAATAGTGATCACAGCTCCTCTGTAGATGATAGCGTGATAATATAGTTATAGCCTATATGTTGACCCAACCTATTACTAATATTCATGCAAAATTCGAAGTAAATACATGCAGTACTTTTTGAATTTAGGCTGGACATACAAACAGACAAACAGACAAGAATTTTAAAAAATCACATTTTTAGCTTCGGTATCGATTGTAGATTACGCCCCACGAATTCTTTTAACACAATATGCAAAGTATTTTTTTTTAAGGGGGAGTATCATCGAATGACTGCTCCCGCCTGGGTGAGGTGGGAGGGAGTGTCAGACTCTTACAGACTAAAAACCACCCCGTTCCTTCTCCTGCACGTCGAGCCGGAGCCCCGGTTACCCGTTAGGTTCTCCGCGACTCCGAATCGGCATCGGCCCTATTGGGCCCCATCTGTGGTGGTCTGATGGCTCTTTGAGGCGCGCGCGATATGCAAAGTATAGTTTTGAGTTTCCTACGATATGTGTATAGACGGCGTGGTGGCCCGGAGGTTTAAGACGCCCACTTCTCATGCATGAGGGTGCGGGTTCGAAACCTACCAACGGCAAGTACCAATGTGACTTTTTCCGAGTTATATGTACTTTCTAAGATTATTTAGACACCACTGACAAACGGTGAAGGAAAAACATCGTGAGGAAACCTGGACTTATAATTTCTAATTATAAGTTTGAAATCGCCAACCCGCATTGAGCAAGCGTGGTGATTAATGCTCTAACCTTCTCCGTGTGAGAAGAGGTTTTGCTCAGCAGTGGGCATTTATAGGCTGTTGATGATGTGTATAGACAGCATTGGTACGGTAATATTATCATACAGTAGTGTAACTCGGCCGCATGGCAACTGCGCGGTACCTAAACGTGCTTTAGGGCTGCCCGTCTCCAGTTCTTCTTCTTATAGTGCCTCTTCAATGTCGAGGTCGGCCGTCAGCTTCTTGTATTTCTCCTTGTCGGTAGCCATGCGGAACAATTGTTCGACAGATGTAATGCCGGTCCACTCCCGGATGTTTCGCAGCCACGATTTTCTTCTGCGCCCAGCACGTCTCTTCCCCTCCACTTTGCCATGATCAGTTGAAGCAGTCGCGACTGTTATCATGCCGAATGCATGCCACGGTCGAGACGCGTAGGTACAGCTTGCGTTTCGTCCGTTTGTATGAAGTTGGAATACTGTATGATAATATTACCGTGGCATTGGCGAACTTTTAAAATAAAAATAATAATTTACGTTTTATTAATTGTGTGAAACTAATTGGTAGCAAATTAAACTTTCTTCCTTCTAGCTTGCTTCTTGCGAACTTCAACATTTATATTTTGTACTGCTTCATATTCTATCGTTAAAATACCAAGATTGTTTAATCAGGTTTCAGTCATTGTAGACCACAAGTAATTTTTTATTAATCTTCTTATGCTCCTGGTCCGATATTATAGTTATCTAAATTATTAGTGGCGGTTATGTTCTCTGTCACAGATTTACGAGTTTTTATAGGTAGAAAGAACTACAACTGATGGTCAAAGTAGGTCTTGATACGCTCATTCCTAAATAAATGGACTACCTAACATAAAAAGACTTATTCAATTCGAATGAGTAGTTTCAGAGATTGGGTTCAAACAAACACATGCCTGCTCGGTTCCTATTGAAATGACACCGCGCGAGAGTAGCTGGTAGTAACAATTTAGATTACCTTAGCAATTTCGGGTGGCGGCTTTGGGCCTTCGAAGGCGATCTGCTGTATCATGATGTCGCCATCCACCTTCAAGTGTGTGATCCTGTGGTACGGGAGCCGATGGGAAAAATCACAGAAATGTTTCCCGTTCACCGACACCTGACGGAGATTGGTCAAATTAGTATAGTAATTTTTTTTATTACAGCTAAAGGAATTGATGTTCTTATCAAACCAACAAAACGTAGCTTCACTTTAAATTTTTGTTTTTGTTGACGTTCAAAAGTGCCATTCTGGCCTAATTGAAATAAATGATTTTGACTTTGACTTTGACTTTGACCAATTAGTCCCCCCCCCCTTTCCCAATCCCTGAATCCTCAACAATCCTCAAATTCTTAATCCCAAAAGGCCGGTAACGCACTTTTAACGCATCTGGTGTTGCGGGTGTCCATAGGCGACGCCGGTTGCTTACCATCAGGTGATCCGTCTGCTCGTTTATCGGCTAATCACATAAAGAAAACAAGGTAATTTCAGACGAATCACCTGATGGTAAGGAACCGGCGTCGCCTATGACGCTTATTTTAAATAACCTTAGAATGAAATAATAAAACAACCAAGTTATTTAGTATGCATGTAAGGAAATAAAGATGTATTCAGTACAGAGACAGTAGCCATTAGTTGTCTAGAGACGACTGAGTTACAAAAGATATGTATTATTATGGCTACCTTACAAAGCACACAATTATTATAATTAACAATAGCTACTGTATTCGTCATCTAGTAGTCTACTATATGTCGTGGTGACACTGAGGTTTAAAACGCCCACTTCTCATGTATGAGGGTGCGAGTTCGAAATCTACCAATCGCAAGTACCAAGTATAGTCATATGTGTACTTTCTAAGATTATTTAGACACCACTGACAAACGGTGAAGGAAAACATCGTGAGGAAACATTTTTTTAGGGGGAGAAACATGCAATGACTTCTCCCGCCTTGGGTTGGCGAGAGGGAGTGTCAGACTCTTAATGACTAAAAATCACCCCGTTCCTATTCCTGCTCTTCGAGCCGTAGCCCCGGCAACCCGTTAGGCCTTCCGCGGCTCCGTATCGATCGCGAGGAAATCTGGGCTTATAATTTCTAATTATAAGTTTGTAACCCAACCCGCATTGAGCAAGCGTGGTTAATGCTCAAACCTTCTCGGTGTGAGAAGAGGCTTTGCTCAGTAGTGGGCATTTATAGGCTGTTGGTGATGACTGTCTCTGTACTGAATCAATCTATATTTTTGTTAAGTGTGGGAGAGCCATGCTTCGGCACGAATGGGCCGGCTCGACCGGAGTGATAATACAGCCTCATAGAAGACCGACGTAAAACAACGCATGCGTTATGTTTCGTCGTGAGAGTGAGGTTACCGGAGGCCCAATTATCCCTCGGATCCTTTCCAAACCCTGAATCTCCAACAATCGTCAAATCCCTAATCCAAAAAGGCCGGTAACGCCTTGTTACGCCTCTAGTGTTCCAGGTGTCCATGGGCGGCGCCGATTGCTTACCATCAAGCGATCCGCCTGCGTTTATCGGTTTATCCCATAAAAAATACTAAATAAATATGCAGTATACTTCTTACCTGAAAACAATCATGTAGACAATGAAACACAACTTCAAACATCTCTCCTACAGCCAGCGGCATCCCTCCGCTGGTCTCCTCAGCCCCCCACGACCCGTGAATGTAAGCGTTGCGTATAATACGCTGATCTCCGAAGCGAGGGTTGAAATGAAAGGCGTTATCATCCCTACCACCACATACAAAGTTTGTTGCGAATCTGGGGAGAAAATAGTGGTGAAAGATACTTTTAAAGTCTGTCGTGTATCAAGAAAGTGTTTGATGACGACGACCTTCCACGTCCGACTTGGTTTCAGGCTGTGGTGTGAAGCGAGAGGAATGGAAGGAGCCCGCCACAACTTTGTTAGTGTATTTAACTTTGAATTTTTATTTCCTCTTATTATTGTTTGCATTGTATTGTACTGTCTGTGCTTGGTGTTGTACCAAAATTGCTAACATGTTACTATTGATTTGCATGTGTGCCCTGGGTAATTAATTAATATTGCTGATCAGCAATGGAAGGTCTTTTTTTAAGGGGAGAAAATCATCGAATGACTGCTCCCATCTGGGTGTGGCGGGAGTTAGTGTCAGACTCTTACTGACTAAAAACCACCCCGTTCCTTCTCCTGCACGTCGAGCCGGAGCCCCGGTTACCCGTTAGGTTCTCCGCGACTGAAGCCCAATGTCGCAATGGAAGGTCTAGACGCTCCCTAGAGCGGGGAAATGCTGACAAAGCTATTGGTTTGGCATGTGTGTCTTAGATAATAAAACAAATATTTCTGATCAGCAATATTTGTTATTATCTAGAACATGCATGGAAGTTTCTAGAGCCTAGTGAGGGGAAGTGCTGACAAAGCAGATGTTTGTTTGTGGTTACTTAACTAGCGCCTGAGGAAACGATCTTCTTTACGTCTCAGCCGCAGTAGGAGACACTCCGGCCACCGTAAGAATAGGTCTGCGTAATCAAAGCCGAGTGTACGGTCAAAGAACCATCAAAACACCACATATAAGGCCCAGTAGGGCTGATACTGATACGGAGCAAGAGGAGGAGGCAGTGTTTAGTCTATAAGATTCTGGTACGTCTTCTCACCTTGCCTCGAGTAGCGGGTGAAACCACGAGGGAGTATAAGTGCAAATCAGTATAAATTCAGGTAAAATATAACGCTACCTTCCCTAATAGAGATGATGACAGGGTATGAAAATTAAAAATCTAATTAGTCTGTCAGTTAGGTTTTAAAAAAAATATTAGACACGTATTTATTTATTTTGTCGTATAATAAAACAATACTTAGATAGAACGAATAAAAATTTAGGAGTGGGAGGTAGCTACGTCATTTTATAGTATAAATCGTACTCAAAAGTGACGTCATGTGATTTAGCAAACCGATATATCTTGGAAACTATTCGTAAGGAAATAAAAAAAATCGTGTCTAATGTTTTTAAATAATCTACCAGACGGACATTAAAATTAAAAATTAATCATCTACCCTATTTCATAAAATCTACGTATCGATATGAACTGCAATAAAGATTTGAATTTAAATTTGAACTTACCTCTTTGCAGATGGTGAGATTCCGCCCTTCACTTTAATTATGCGTCCAGGGTACATGCCCCCGGGAATAATGCCCGCATATGGTACTACCTAAAAACTTCGATTAGGTAAATAGTGGATATTCTTCCAAATATAGGTAAGTCCGCCTTTATTACTAAGCGGTTTCATTTAGCTTGCCCCGTGTGTTTGTCTGGGTCTGTAGTAATTGTAATTCCACCCCCTTCCTGGCGACAGATCGATCTGATATTTGGTACACACTCTTAATCTTGATGACCATACAATATAATCTAATTGTTTCCACAACTACCTCCATTATGGATATCAAACGAAAGGGTTTGATTGGTAGAATAGAGCTCGTTGAAACCGTTTGCAACTTAAGATCATCGGTTATCAACAAAGGACAACGGTGGCCCAATTTTTAAGTGTGGGAGAGCCATGCTTCGGCACGAATGAGCTGGCTCGACCGGAATGATACCACGGCCTCACAGAAAACCGACGTGAAGCAACGCTTGCGTTGTGTTTCGTCGTATGAGTGAGGTTACCGGAGGCCCAGTACCTCCCCCCTTCCCCAATCTCCCTAATCCCTATTTTTGTGCTTCAATCGTTTCGAAGTGACATTTTAAGACCACCTTTTTTGCAACGTCGAAGTCAAAGCATTTATTTCAATTAACCCTTTGAGTACCGTCATTATAGACACAATTAAAGAACAATATGTTGCGGTCACCAGTGTCCTCGCGGTGTTTGACAGTTTAACTCGTCGAGTACCGGTTTTATAGACACAATTAAAGATCAATAGGTCGCGGTCACTTGGTGTTTGACAGTTTAAACCATAATTTGGTACTTTTGAAACGTCAACAAATACAAAATAAATGATAGTCTGCCAGTCAGTCCGTCAATGAAGCTAGGTGAAGCTAGGTGCTCATTCCAAAACGTAGATTCGAATGGAGAAGAACGAGCAAGAAACTCCATTCGTTACTCTTTTTAAAAAAGTATATCGTATCGTCTTTGGTATGAACACTCACCGGTTTGTCAACTGTGGTCATCTTCTCTTCTGAGTTGGTGCTTTGTCACAAATCAAATTATTATCGATTTACTTCGAACCCGGTTCGACTGACATGATACAAAACGTATCTGCAACACCGCTAACAAAGCACATCCATTTTTATATCTGTTTGTTATCAATGCAAGCCATGACTATGATGCATGCGCAATATGTTTTTAATTAACTAGATTGCAGTTTTCCTCTGTTACTTCCTGTGTTCCTAGCTTCCTGGATGCTATTCAGGTACCTAGGTACTTATAGGTCCAACACAAATTATTTTTTTATTACACCCTTTTTTTAAATTGCCTCTTTGGCCGAGTGGTCGTAAGTGCGACTGCCGGGCAAGGGGTCTCGGGTTCGATTCCCGGGTCGGGCAAAGTATTACTGGGTTTTTAAATATTCTCAGCAGTAGCACGGAGTCTGGAATTGTACCCGGTAAATGGCAATAGGCTCACCCCCTATTACATGGGACTCATAACATAAATAGTGAAAAGTGGGTGTTACATTGCACAGTGGTATAATGTGCACCTCTGCCTACCCTTTCGGGGATAAAAGGCGTGATGTTATGTGATGTTATGTTACTTTTTTTTAAGGGGGGAAATTCATTGATTGTCTGCTCCCGCCTGGGTGAGGCGGGAGGGAGTGTCAGACTCTTACTGACTAAGAACCACCCCGTTCCTTCTCCTGCACGTCGAGCCGGAGCCCCGGGTACCGGTTAGGTTCTCCGCGACTCCGGCCCATTACACACTAAAGGCTATATTTCACTGGGACTGGAGACGCAACCAGTAGCCGCTACCAACCAAACCATTGACTTGGTTACGTAACCAAAAGACACCAGGTTGGCAACTCTATAGAGCTGTATACATTTCGTTGGTAGCGGGGACAGGTAGCGCCGCCATGGTGAAATATTGGGCTGGCCTAATCCCCCCCCCCCCACACTTCCCTCAAATCTGAATCTTAATCCCCAAAAGGCCGTTAACGCACTACAAACGCCTCTGGAGTTCCAAGTGTCCATGGACGATGCCGATTGCTTACCATCAGGTGATGCGTCTGCTCGTTTCCCGGATAACCCATAAAAAATATAGCCTTAACAATAAGCGTGGAAAGCATGGTTTCTTTCACGGTTCAAAGGTAGACACCTGGTTTGTATTTTTGAAGACTCCTTCTTCTTCCTCTCTCTGAATCCTTGGACTCAAGGCAAGAGTGAATAGGTTACTTCCGGGTCGACGTGCTCCATCGTAGAGCACGTCATCGCTTACCAGCAGGCGAAATGGTGGAGAAACATCATTCTATTAAGAATACGAAAAATCAGCGCGATTTTGTAAAAAATACATTACAGTACTGGAGGTATTTTTTTAATTTTTTACCATCTCTGAGCAAATCCTCTTCTCACACAGAGAAGGTTTGAGCATTAATCACCACGCTTGCTCAATGCGGGTTGGCGATTACAAACTTATAATTAGAAATTATAGGCCCAGGTTTCCTCACGATGTTTTCCTTCACGGTTTGACAGTGGTGTCTAAATAATCTTAGAAAGTACATATACCTAACTCGGAAAAGTCACATTGGTACTTGCCGTTGGTAGGTTTCGAACCCGCATTCTCAGGCATTAGAGGCCTCTTAAACCTCCGCGCCACCACGATAGGATTATGTCATAACTTATAATATGTTGTTTACATAGAAATTATCTATTTAGGAGGAAAACATATGGATAATAACATATAATTAATTAATAGGAACTTGGAACTTGATAGTATTAATTAATGTTACTTTGTTTTTTATTTATGTGGGAGAGCCATGCTTCGGCACGAATGGGCCGGCTCGACCGGAGTGATACCACGGCCTCACAGGAAACTGACGTGAAGCAACGCTTGCGTTGTGTTTCGTCGTGTGAGTGAGGTTACCGGAGGCCCAATTACCCTCAACCTTCCCCAATCTCCCTAATCCATGAGTCCCCAACGATCCTCAAACTCCTGATCTCCTAATAGTCGCGGAGAACCTAACGGGTTACCGGGGCTCCGGCTCGACGTGCAGGAGAAGGAACGGAGTGGTTTTTAGTCAGTAAGTAAGTCTGACACTCCCTCCCGCCTCACCCAGGCATGAGCAGTCATTCGATGATTTTCCCCCCTTAAAAAAAAATCCCCAAAAGTCCGGTAACGCACTTGTAACGCCTCTGGTGTTCCAGGTGTCCATGGGCGACGCCGATTGCTTACCATCAGGTGTTCTGTCTGCTCGTTTACTGGCGTATGCCATAAAAAATGTAATTTTTTGTTTGTTTATTTATGAAAACATCAAGTATGTATGTTAGGAAAAACCTACAGTTGTTTGGTAAAGTGTCGGACAGACACCACTATCAAACTAGACCTATGAATAGATTAAGGCTTAGTTGCACCACAGAAAGTAGTTACTTTAAAATTAAGTTTAACAGTGACCAGAGAAAAGTGAGCGGTTACAGTTATAGTTATTAAAGTTATGACGTTATTTAACAACTAGCCCGCGACTTCGTACGCGTAATCCCATTTTTCCCAGTCCCCGTTCGTGATTTTCGGTAAAAAAAAAATGTTGGTTAAAAAGTATCCTATGTCGGTCTCCTGGCTTTAAACCTCCCTATCAATTTTCAGCCAAATCTATTCTGCCGTTCTTGAGTTATAAGTGGTGTAACTTACACGACTTTCTTTTATATATAATATATATAATAGATTTGTCAATTGGAGCAACGTCTTTTTGACCTAACCGATATTTTAACAAAAATTTTGACGTTTGTCATTGTTAAAGTAAGTTGATACAACCCAGCCTAAATAGTCTATTTTCTAAACTACTGTATTTTTGAAAACAATTTTTAAGTTTTAGCCCCCACGCTTAAACGTTGATTCGTTCTATATAAGTATCATTTTATAATACAACAAAATAAAAAAATACGTGTCTAATATTTTTTCATTACCTCACTGACGGACTAATTACATTTTTTATTTTCATACCATGTCATCATCCCTATTGTACGTGGCATGTTCACGTGTCGGTAAATCATCCACTTTATTTGTTCTAGCCAGGGCCGGATCTAGGGGGGGGGGGGGGGGCATTTTAAATATTGACAGAAACAGAAATCATTGATCTATATTTGTTCACTCCAATCAGGCAATCAGTGAAATATCAAAATCTCAAATGGCTCTGATAAGCACTTCCAATTTAATACCCATCTTGAGGGAGTACCCCAATGGCTCAATGGCTCAGTGGGATGGTACTTGCCCGCAACCTCGGAGGTTGGCTATTCGATTCCGTGTCTACATATATATATGTAGGGGTTAGGTATCAAACAATATTTTTTTGTAAACATTTTTTTTCCTAAAGGGAGGAATGTTGTAGGGGTTAGGTATCGCAAAGAACACACACTGTTATAGCTTAAGGTATAAACATGTAATCGCATTGTGCGCACGATACACTCGTCGCCTGTACACCATAGAGGCAATACATATTCAGTTCAGTTCCGTAACATCTGTTTTATTTATCTCCTATAAAGTGAGTGCCCCAACGAGAACCTAAATATATATATTTTAATGGTCGAGACACGGAATCGAATAGCCAACCTCCGAGGTTGCGGGCAAGTACCAAGGTCAAAATTTCAGAGCTACATTCCCAAACCTCGAAATTGCATTGAGAATGTATTTGGTTTTGATGGTATCAAATTGCACTGGAGAGCGCTCATTTTCGAAAATGAAAATTATAAAAAATAGGCTTCGAACCACAATGGGACAAAACCGACTATCAAAGCTTTCTCTCCTGAGCATTGAAAGCGATTTACTCCGAGAACTGGATTTCAGCGAACTCATCAACGATTTTTCGGCAAAAAAAGCTCGAAAGGTTCCGTTCGTTAACACTAAAATTTAATTTCAAATAATTCTTGTTTCCGATTATATTTATATGTGTTTGTTAAATACTAAGAGAATGGACTTGGTTTCACAATAAATTATTTATTGAAAAACTCGACTGAAAAAAATTGTTTATTTTATTTGGAAAATAATTTGGGGCAAGGGGGCCTCCACTCCTTTGTTGCCCCGAGGCCTCTGGACCCCTAAATCCGGCCCTGGTTCTAGCGCCTGACAAAAAACAAAGAATGTCGTTTACCACGAGGTGCTTGAATGAACAGAGTCAATCTGAGTGCATCAGATGCTACACAACCTAATTTAATTTAATAAAAAAATTCTGACACGTGTTTAAAGTACTTAATTTTTATTTCTATTCTCTTTCTGTATGTACCTACTGTTTAATGTCGTGGTAGCTCGGAGGTTTAAGACGCCCTCTTCTCACGCATGAGGGTGCGCGTTCGAAACCTACCAACGGCAAGTACCAATGTGACTTATTCCGAGTTATATGTACTTTCTAAGATTATTTAGACACCACTGACAAACGGTGAAGGAAAACATCGTGAGGAAACCTGGGCTTATAATTTCTAATTATAAGTTTATAATCGCCAACCCGCATTGAGCAAGCGTGGTGATTAATGCTCAAACCTTCTCCGTGTGAGAAGAGGCTTTGCTCAGTAGTGGGCACATATAGGCTGTTGATGATTGATGATGATGATGTACTGTTTATATAATATTATAAAGCTGAAGAGTTTGTTTTTTTGTTTGTTTGTTTGAACGCGTTAATCTCCGAAATTACTGGTCCGATTTGAAAAACTATTTCTGTGTGGGATAGCCCATTTATCGAGGAAGACTATAGGCTATAAAATATCACGCTACGATTAATAGGCCCCGAGCAGAGCGAGTGAAACCGCGCAGAAGTAGCTAGTAATAAAATACTTTTATATATCTATCTAGAGGTATATTCATATTTATATTGTATCACTAGCGACCCAGCCCGGCTTTACACTGGTGCAATATGCATGTATTATACATATAAACCTAATTTAACAATCACTCTATCTATTAAAAAAACCGCATCAAAATCCGTTGCGTAGTATAAAGATCTAAGCATACATAGGAACAGACAGACGGCAGATAATGACTTTGTTTTATACTATACTAGCGGACCCGACAGACGTCCTGCATATCCACTTGAAGGTATACACAAAAATTCATTCAAATTAGTTCAGCAGTTTAGGATAACTAACCTAGACGCCGACTGCATCGCCATCTGCCGGGCTGATTTGAGAATCTAAACCATTTCCAGATCCCCTTGAACACACACAAATAATTTTATCAAAATCGGTCCAGTCGTTTGAGAGAAGTTTAGTGACATACACACTCACAGAAGAATCCTTACTATAATATTATAAATCGGAAAGTGAGTTTGTTTGTTCCGCTTTCACGCCGTAACTACTAAACCGATTGCTTTGAATTTTTGCAGACGTAAAGTTAGAAGTCTGGATTAAATAATAGGGTACTTTTTATCACGGAAAAATTTGATATTCCCGAGGGAAAACAAAATAATAGGTATAGATGGCGCTGTGTGTATTGGTATAATATGTCACATAGGCTACTTTTTATACTTTTGTGACGCGAGCGAAGCTGCGGGTAAAAGATAGTTATATATATAAAGATATGTAGTGATTATATTACGTTCATCAAAGCCTAAATTAGTTCAGCTAAACGCGATAATACGACATTAAACTGTCAAACACCAAGCGGTCACCGGTGACCGCAACCTATTGTTCTTTAATTGTGTCTATAAAACCGGTACTCGATGAGTTAATTGACTGTTAGGCGGTATGAAGTGTCGCGGAGAACCTAACGGGTAACCGGGGCTCCGGCTCGAAGTGCAGGAGAAGGAACGGGGTGGTTTTTAGTCAGTAAGAGTCTGACACTCCCTTCCGCCTCACCCAGGCGGGAGCAGTCACTCGATGATTATCACCCCTTAAAAAAAAAGGCGGTATGAAGCACATGTACTTGTACAAAGTAGGTACAAGTAGGTACGGCTCCTCTAGTTGTAAATACAGGAAAATTATTTTTGGCTTAAGTAAACATCCATTATTGTGTTAAGAGTACCAAAACAAACTATCGCTTGTATTACAATTTCAAAATGGGAATTCCAGTGGTGCATGCTTGCCAAATGCGGCGAGGAAGATAAGCTCTGTGCATTATTATATGTAAATAAAGACTTAACAAGTGAAAGTATATGGTTTTGCTCGCTTTTTTACAAGCTTTAATAACTTACAATGTATGTACGTGTGTGTGTGTGTGTGTTTGTCAAGTTGAATCTTGCAACTGAGCGGTAAACGAGCAGACGGATCACCTGATGGTAAGCAATCGGCGCTGCCCATGGACACCCGGAACACCAGAGGCGTTACAGTGCTGTTACCAGCCATTTAAAAAAGTAAGGAAGGCTTTGCTTTTTTTTTTTTTTTGGAGGTGGGAAAATCATCCAATGACTTCTCCCGCCCGGGTGAGGCGAGAGGGAGTGTCAGACTCTTACTGACTAAAAACCACCCCGTTCCTACTCCTGCACTTCGAGACGGAGCCCCGGCAACCCGTTAAGTCTTCCGCGGCTCCGTATCGGCATTAGCCCTGTTGGGCCCCATCCGTGGTGGTCTGATGGCTCTTTGAGGCGCGCGCGGAACGCGACGCGCCGTACGCTCGGGCCTGGTTCTGGTCGGGCGGCGAGTCACCCGTGTTCGCCGTCCGTAGGCTCATGCTTACGGTGGCCGGATATCGTCTCGCGATCCCCGACGCCCGGAATGTCTCTCGCGACGGCCGGGGCGTGAGGAGGTTCGTTCCCTCACGCGCTCCGCCTCCTCCTTAGCTAGCATAACTGCTTCGCAAAAGGAGGAGACGGCGTCCCAGTACCCCTTGCTCCGTGCCATGGTCTGAACCAGAAGTAAGGAAGGCTGCGGATATGAGAGTCCACTGCTGCGTTAGACCTGTAGTCCAGGAGTGGACTGCCACCTCACCCGCTTGGCTGGGTCGGAAACCGCAGTTGCAGGTTTATCAGCGAGCGCTGCTGCTCGATCTCTGTCAAAAGTCCCTTAGTCGGGTATACGACACCGCGGGAAGAGTAGGGGTGCAAACAAACAGACAATCCAATATATCCTCTTTATAATATTAATAACAAAGCTAATATGGACAAAAGGAAAAAACATTATTAATACTGGAACTAATATGTATATAGCGAGATAGTGGTCAAATGTCGGCCCATTAAATATAAACAAAAACTGAGAGAGTGCTGTCATACATGCAATAACTGCAGTAGTGAACGCTGCAAGTCCAACTGTAGTAATATTTAAAACAGTGCTTAATATCTTGAAAAACAGTGACAATAATAAAATATTTCAATATTCACTTAACAGTGAAAATTAATTTCAAAAAGCTGCATCAAATCAAGAATCGAAATAACGGAATCACGAATAATCGTTATGTGGATAACATTGCTAGCGATAATCGCCTTAACGATAACGACATCTCAGTGTCACGATGAACAGGATCAGAATATCGTTAAAACGATTACGGACCAAGACATCAACACGAACCGGGTAAGGAGATTTGTAACCGGAACAGGTTATCCAAATAAACACGGATATCTTACCACCCAGAACAAAACGAATGGATATAATGTTTCAACAACTAGATTAAATAGAAACAATACAACACAGCGTTACGCGAGTTCGGTACAAAATTACAATTACAGCAAACCCGGATATTATCTTCATAATGTAAATACAAGCAACATTAAACCGGTTTATTCTAAAACTGCTGGATATAGACAATATCCGGGTAATTATTCCAAAAATCAAGGACCGTTACCACGGCTAAAAAACATATTATCAAAGCATAATGCATCTTCACCAAAACCTGCTCAGAATAACAACAGTCGCTACCCGGTTTCTAATATAACGAAACCCGGATATACACAATTCCCGGGCAACAATTCCGGCTACCCGGCACAGCAAAACAGACCAACCCCCAATGCACCTCGAACGAGACCTGCTCAGAATAACACCGGCTACCCGGTTTTTAACGCAACGAAACCGGGATATAATAATCCTGTAAAATATGACAAGTGTAGAGGTATGGATGCTTGTGTAATTACTGCAAGCAATGGTTGTCCAGAAGGAATGACAAAATTTGGTGAGATGTGTGTGCGAGACTCAGATGAATAATAAAAAAGTAAAATATTCAAGATACACCATCACCAACAGCCTATAAGGGGCCACCGCCGACCAAAAGGCGTGTTCGCACAAACCTTCTGTTTTAGCATTAATCACCACGCTTGCTCAATGCAATTTTAAACTTATAATTAGAAATTGTAAGCCCAGGTTTCCTCACGATGTTTTTCTAAACCGTTTGTCAGTGGTGTCTAAATAATTTTAGAAATTACATAACATTGGCACTTGCCAGGTTTCGGAACCTCGCCCTCACATGACGAGCGGTTGTCTTAAACCTCCGAGCCACCACGAAATCATCATCATCATGCGTACAGCCACGTACAGCCCCTCCCACAGTCATTCCCCAATGACTACACATCACGAGGTTGGAAGCGACCTACATTACGACTTACGACCTATGTCAGGTTGTCTGTTCACCTTGTAGGTGGAGTGGACGCGTATAATATTTTTTTTATGTGATAGCCCGGTAAACAAGCAGACGGATTACCGGATGGTAAGCAATCGTCACCGCCCATGGACACCCGGAACACCAGAGGTGTTGTAACACCACAAGTGCGTTACCGGCTTTGTGGGGATTATAAATTTGAGGATTGTGGTGGATTCGAGGATTGCGGAGACTGGGGGGGGGGGGAGTAATTGGGCCTAATTCTATTCTAATTTTACCTATTTTTAAGTATAAATAAAGTAAGCATTTTTATAAGTCTGTATTTTATTTATTTCTACAGTCCTACAGGATAGGAACCCGGATGAGTCAAATTTTCTAGATTAAAAAAGCTACTAGTCTCACCCCCTGTTACATACCATGGCAAATAATTTATTTACATATTGTGTTGCTCATTGTCGGAGTTCTAATAGGTAACGACCGATGTTGTTACTTCTACTTGATGGATGTGTGCAATACGGTAGTTTACAACTAGTCAAATTCAATACTTTTATCGAAACGTCAAAAACGATACTGTTCTATGAATTTTGTACGAAATACTAGCTATCAAATGAATATACATACATACATACATAACTTCACGCCTGTCTCCCATGGGGGTAGGCAGAGACTAAGGAACGCCAATTACTACGATTCTTACATACCTTTTTCGCTTCATTAACAGTCATCAATCTTTTCATGCATGCTCGTCGGTTAAGGGTACTTTTAATTTGGCCCTTCTTTAATAATGAATATTTTCACGTCAAATAGCACACTTATATCTGAAGAAAATGCAAGAATAAATCGAAAATTAAGTATATCGGCAAATGAATGAATGAAAGTGTAACTATTTTTCAATATTTAATTGGATTGAATAATCAAAATTATTTATTTTAGACACAGGAAACTACCCAATTAATATGGCTGTGTTATAACAATGTTAATAATAAGTTTTTTATAATGAGTGACAACATTGTCGCATTGGGTGTAACCTGTTACAATGTGTTGATTTAAATAAATAAAATTTATAAAATTTATGTTTTATGTTCAACGGTTTCAATGAGCTCTATTCTACCGTCTATCAAGCCGTTTCGTTTGATATCAATAATGGAGGAAGTTGTGGAAACAATTAGATTATATTGTATGGTCATCAAGATTGAGAGTGTGTACCAAATATCAGATCGATCTGTCGCCAGGAAGGGGGTGACATTACAATTACTACAGACCCAGACAAACACACGGGGCAAGCTAAATGAAACCGTTTAACTAATGCTATTGAAAATAACAAAACTCCAAGAGGTTTAGTTTTAACGTATTTATTTATTATTATATTAATTAGCGCTTAACAGGCTAGGGCGCTAGTGTTGGTCGGTGGGCGCCAATATTGGTCATTGGGCGCTAGAGTTCATCAGAAGGCGCCAGGCTTGGTCACAGGGCGCTAAGGTTCGTCAGTGGGCGCCAGCACGGCGCCACTGTAGGCAAGGTCCCAATAATGTTCTACGCGATGTTTCTGAAAATGCTCTCGAGCTTGTTTCTCTGTCGGCATCACCTGGAACAAAGGTACAATGCTTTTCAAGCTTCGGCACTGCTTCGAGGAGTGATACCACGCTTTGGTAGTATCACGCCGGTCTCTCATAGGTATATGAGGAAATTTATAACGTCTTTGGTATCCATGAGCAACACTAATTGCTGACCGTCAGAAGAGAACACTTTATTACAATTTTAGTCCGTGTGTCTGTCTGTCTGTACTAGCTAATGTATCATAAAATAAGAATAGATACATATACTATTTTGAGCCGACGGCTTCTTCTGTGATCTCGAGATAAAAATTACTCCATGTGTTACTCCATCTATCTGATTATCTCTGTACCAAATTCAATTTAAATCTGCCTAGTAGTTTCTTCAATATTTTTTATAGGATAAGCCGGTAAACGAGCAGACAGATCACCTGATGGTAAGCAATCGGCGTCGTCCATGGACACCCGGAATACCAGAGGCGTTACAAGTGCGTTACCGGCCTAAGTATATGCGGATAGTTGGGGATTCAAGGATTGAAGAAATTGGGGAGGGGGCGTAATTTAGTCCTCCAGTAACCGCACTCACACTACGAAACATAACGCTGTGGTTGTTTCACTATAGTTTCCGGCTCGGCCGTGGTATCACTCCGGTCGAGCCGGCCTATTCATGCTGAAGCATGGCTCTCCCATACTGCCATTACACACTTCATGAAAGACACACATACATCCGTACAAACACACAAGAACATTAGTTGTATACCTTAAACTTGACATCTCCGAAGGCCCTCTGCTTGACAATCCCCTCCCATACCAGGCTACAACTGTTAGGGACCTCGTTACCCTCCGCGTCCTTCACCATGTCCTCCTCCCACTTTATACGGTGCAGCATCAATCTGGAATAAGTAATCAGTCAATTAGATAATGTTCGTGAAATGTTACGAGGCAGTTCGATTAGTTTCGAGTTTGACCGGAGCCTTTGGACACCGAATGAGAAATGTTAGTGAATAATTTAAATAACGTTGAAAAGTCACGTTTGATTTGAACAAACCTACAATTTTACGCACATACCCGGGACAATTACACTTGTCGATTACAAAATGGATAATATCGTGCGGACATCGAACCCGCTACATGTTGTGCAGCACCAGTTATTTAAAATCTTGATATATTCCTACCAGGGCCGTCTTACACTACACTGGGGCCCTTGGGCACACAATATTCGGGGCTCTTTCGGAATGTTTCTATTTCTAACGTTGCCCCACACAGGGATCATCATCTGTGTCGTGGGTGCTATATATAAGTTCACATACACATGACATAAAGATCCGAAACAACAATTTGTGCATAAACATTTGCTCCTTGCGGGAATCGAACGAAACAGTGTAGCGGGTGTGTGTCCGTCGTAGAAACTGGAGGTCTTTCGGGGCCCCTGGGCACGGGCACCGAGTGCCCTTGTGGTAAACATGGTACTGGTTCCTATATCTTATGATCCGTAGAATATAAATCTAATTATTTTTACCCGATATGATTTATTGTGAACAATAGTGTATATTTATACAGAGCGGATACGAATGGATGAATGGTGATCATATATCCGTTTATTAAAGAAGGGCCAAATTTAATTAAAAGTACCTTTAACCGACGAGCATGCATGAAAAGATTGATGACTGTTGATGAAGCGAAAGAGGTATGTGAGAAGCGCAGCAATTGTGTACTTGCCACAACTAATCAAATTCAATACTTTTTTCGAGCCGTCAAAAACGTCAGTTTTCTATGAATTTTGTACGAGATTGTGTAGTGTGACGTTACGTTTTTTAGCGTCAAACAAAATACTCATTTTCTAAGAAATTGCTTGAAAAATATTATCTCCTCCCAGGTTATACCCGTCAGGGAACACAGAAACACATTTATAATATTAGTAAGATACCAGTGCTGACCTCTTGTACTTGGCGTGTTGCTTGGGCCCCCCCTCGACGACGACGACGCAGCAGCCGCGGTGCAGCAGCACGGTGCCCGACATGTGCAGCTGGGCCGCGTTCGCTTCCACCTTGAACTTGGCCGACGCGCACTCGAACAGGTCCTTCACCCTGCGCGACACATCACATCACGCCTTTGTAGGCAGGTGTACGAGAGAGTTGAGTGCCCATCGCGCAATTGTACACACGGGTGTACGAGAAACGCGCACCGATGGGATATTTTTTCTGTGACGTATATTTTCAAGTTTGCAACCCGTTCTTTATTTGATTGAACAGAATAGTTAATTCACTTTTCTATTAAAATATTTACCCGTGTGTACGAGAGGCGCGCGAGAGGTTAATGCCACTGTATAATGTAATACTCACTTTTCACTATTTAAGTTACAAGTCCCATGTAATAGGGGTGAGCCTATTGCCATATACCGGGCACAATTCCAGATTCCGTGCTACTACTGATAAATTAACCAATTTAGGGATCACAAAAAGAAATGGATCTGTGCGGGAATCGAATCCGCGAAACGTTACACTCCAACGTCGCAATCAAAAAATCTGTTAAGTATTTAATAAAAATAAATATATGTTACCTAAAAACAGCTACATGTACGCCCATAGACGTGTCTTCTCTGATCTTTCTGTCGACCTGGAATGAAATAAAAAAGAATTTAACAATAATCCATGTCATTTGATTTTAGAGCCCCAGTGTAGTTGGAAAATACTCGAGCACCCTCGAAAGAGGACGAGACTATAGTCTATCTCTGTGTAAAACTTTTCTCAGATCTATTCAGTAATTTTGTGTGAAGGAGTCACAAACATACATATGGAAATCCACACAAACTCTGCATGCCATTATATTGTATTGTCATTTAATATACATACAATAGGGTAGTTGCCAAGGGATGAAAATTAAAAATCTAATAAATCCGTCGGTCGGTTAGATAATGAAATAATAATAGACATGTATTTTTTTTTCTTGTTTTTTTTATGTCATAAGCCGGTAAACGAGCAGTCGGATCACCTGATGGTAAGCAATCGGCGTCGCCCACGGACACCTGGAACACCAGAGGCGTTACAAGTGCGTTATCAGCCATTTGGGGATTAGGAGTTTGAGGATCGTTGGGGATTGGGGAGATTGGGGAAGGGGAGGGTAATTGGGCCTCCGGTAACCTCACTCACACGACGAAACACAACGCAAGCGTTGCTTCACGTTGGTTTTCTGTGAGACCGTGGTATCGTTCCGGTCGAGCCGGCCCATTCGTGCCGAAGCATAGCTCTCCCACACTGAATATATAGTATAAAGTTACTTCGAATAAATTTTGTTAAGTTTAGGAGTGGGAGGTCGTTATGTCACAACGTGCTACTAAATGTGGCACGCTGTGACGTCACACGAAGTTTCAAATGAATATATCGTCGAAAGTATATGTTTCTGTAAGAAAATAAAAAATACGTGTGTAATGTTTTAAAATAATCTACCAGACGGACATTGACATAGAAATAAGTCGTCTACCCAATTGTTTTCAGAACAGATAATCGTAACTAAGGAATAGTTTAAGTACCTAGGCATTAAATATGTCTGGGTACCGCAGTCAGTTTCACAGGTCGACCTACTAAAACCGTGTTCATAAAGTGGATAGCTTACCTTCTCTCTCTTCTGATCTTTCGTAAGAGCTCGCGCCTTGTTCGCCTCCAAATGAGTCTTCTGTCTCTTGGCGATCTGCTCCCGGACCTTCGCTTCGATGGCAGTGGGATCCTGGACAGCCTCCGTGCCCAGAGCTCTCATCAGGTTGGATATCCTACAAGAGAACAATTGTAAAATGTTGTGGTGATATCAGTGTCGACTAGAATCGTCACCACCTTCCAGTGGGTGTCGTACACCCAACTATAGGAATACATGTTTAATAAAGATAAGACAGCAGCGTTCTCTGATAAACTTGATTTTTCAAACTCAAGTTCCAACCAGTTTTAAGTGTGCGAGAACCATGCTTAGGTACGAATGGTTCGGCTCGACCGGAGTGATACCACGGCCGAGCAGAAAACCGACGTGAAGCAACGTTTACGTTGTGTTTCGTCATGAGAGTTAGGTTAGCTGAGTCCAAATTACCCCCAATCCCCGAATCCCCGAATCTAGGGCTAATCTAGTCTTTTAATGGGACAAGCCCGCCACAACCTCCCAAAATCGCTGCAACTCCTGTAACCCAGGATCTACAGTAGATACAACACTGAAGTCCGGCGCGACCCAGGGACATTAATAACTGTCTTGGTTCCTAGGGCGCCTTCTAACGACAATCCAATTCATATCCGCTCTGTATACTTCTTTCGTAAATCTGCTTTCATTCAACCTTTCTACATGGATGATTTTATCCCCTAAAATGTCCTGTCCTCACCTGAGTTTGGGTTCGGGCGGTGCTTCCAGCCCAAGTCTGACCTTCTCCTGCTCCTCCTTCCACGCCTCCCTGCGACTCTGTCGACGCAGCTTCTTTCTTTCCTTCTTCGTCAGAAACACGGGCATATAGGTCGGCTTCAACGGCTCGGCTGTAACCAAACAAACAAATTACTTAGGAATCATCATCAAAGTCAAAGTCAAAGCATTTATTTCAATTGAACCATAATTTGGTACTTTTGAAACGTCAACAAATATAAAATTAATAATATGTTATGGTTTTGGGGACTGGGGATGAGGGTGGAAGGATTGGAGCCTTGATAATTCCATTCACACAGCTGAATACAACGCAAGCGTTGTTTGTCGGTGTACTGTGAGGCCGCGGTATCACTGCGGTCGAGCCGGCCCATTCCTGGCAAAGCAGGACGCTCCCCACGCTGGGGCGCTTGGGCACACAGTAATTAGGGCCCTCTTGGAATGTTTCATTTTAATAACGTTGCCCCTCTCTAGGATTTTCTCCTGTGTCGTGGGTGCGTTTGCAAACATACAAGTTTACATACACATGACACCCGGAAGCGGTTGCCGCCCAACGTGTAGCGGCTGAGTGTCCGTCGTAGAAATTGTCGGTCCTTAGGGGCGCCCTGAGTATGGGGCCCTGGGCATGAGCCCCGACTACTTTCATGGTAAAGACGGTATTGTAAATACAGGAAAATTATTTTTGGCTTAAGTAAACATCCATTATTGTGTTAAGAGTACCAAAACAAACTATCGCTTGTATTACAATTTCAAAATGGGAATTCCAGTGGTGCATGCTTGCCAAATGCGGCGAGGAAGATAAGCTCTGTGCATTATTATATGTAAATAAAGACTTAACAAGTGAAAGTATATGGTTTTGCTCGCTTTTTTACAAGCTTTAATGTAACTTGCAATGTCAAGTTCCGCGCGGGCGCTCCCACCGTAAGGACGTGAGCGGTTGTTAGTATCTAAGACAGTACCTAAGTTGCGATTAACCTACATCAAAGCGTCGGTATGGTTCAATGTAAGCTGTGTAAGTTATCGTTAGCCCGAGTTAAAGGGGAAAGCACCGTTAAATGTAGTGGGGAATGTGAAGGAGTTTTCCACAGGAAATGTGCAGTGAAAATAAAATCATTTACTAACACTGGTCTTTGTGGTGAATGCCAACTCTTGCAGACCGACCTATCGTCGCCAATAGAAGTCGATGTGACGAAGACAACACCCGAGAAACTGCTAGCTGAAGTCAACAAGAAGCTGGCAATAGTCTTCATTATGCAAAAGACTTTGGAGGGAATGTCAGATGACATAAGTTTCTACGCGGAAAAGTACCAGGAGCTAATAGAAGAAAAGGAAAAAACAGACAAAAAGATCAAGGCGTTGGAACATAATAACACCCATCTGGAGACCAGTAACAAAGCGCTGGAAGAAAGGATAGCATATTTAGAACAGCGGGAGAAAGAAAAAAATATAGAAATATTTGGCTTAGAGGAACAACAGAATGAAAATATAGAAACTACAGTAAAGACAATAGCAAGTAAGCTGGGGATAGCCGATAGCATGATATGTGAGGCAATGAGGGTGGGTGAAGAATTCAAAGTGGAGAACAAAAAGCGCGAGAAAAAACCGCGCCCGATTATCATTACTTTGGCTAAGAGGACCACCCGCGACAAGTGGCTTGCTACACGAAAAACCCACCAGCTGACTAACGATGATATATTTGAAAACGGCAATAAACAGCGGATTTACGTTAATGAGGATCTCACGAAACACACGCGCAACTTGCTATGGACGGCAAAAAATGAGCTTAAACCGACCTTTAAATTTATTTGGGTTCAAAATGGCAGGGTGTTGATAAAAAAAGATGATCCTAATGATACAAAAATACGATCAATCCGCACGTTAAGTGATATAAATATGTACCTTAAGTAACGCACATAATGTGTAATGCAATAAAATACTTAATACACACAGATCAAAATTCGATGATCATGCATCGTATATAAACTCTAATATTAAATATAGTAAATATACATGTATAAAAAGCTGGCAAAAAGAATTATTAAGATCGCATAATAATCTGAGTATTATTCACGTAAACATAAGATCACTCAGAAAAAACTTCAATGAATTACTTGTTTTGATAAATGATTGCAAGGAGAAACTGGATATTATAGCATTAACAGAAATTAATATAAAGCAGCAGGAACTATCTTTATATAGTATAGAAGGATATGATACATACATAAGTACAAGGGAAACGAGAAGAGGAGGGGGGGTTTTGTTATATGTAAACAACAAACTAACTTTACCGCGAATACAGGTAAATCGAGCTACTTTGAGATGATACATGGACAGCTTCATCAAGATGGGAGGAGAATAAGTCACATATTGGTTGTATACAGGCCACCAATGACAAATAAATGTAGCTTCATTGAAGAAGTGAATAAGCTACTATCCGAAATATCAGCTGACTGTGAGGCGATACTGATCGGTGATACGAACATAGATCTTTTGAATCAAACCGGTTCTAGTGATACGAATCAATTCACAAACAATATGAGCGAGATAGGAATGGAATGTGCTTTACGTGACATAACGCGGGAAGAAGTGTATGGAGACAAGGTGACACAGTCTTGCATCGATCATGTGTGGGTTCGTTCTCGACGTGTGATATCTGCGTATGTATTAACATGTAGGTTGGCGGATCACTATGTTATAGGTGTGTGCGCGGCGAATGACTCAGAACTGAACAGTAATTATTCATCAATATGTGAACACTCGTGTAGGACTATTATATGTGACAAGAAGGTGATAGAAAAACTTGAAAATGTATCATGGTCGGAGCTTTTGAATTGTAAGTGCCCGTTGGATTTATATTACAAAATTTCTACAATATTCTGTGATACTTATGAAGATGCTAAAATCCAAGTTTCTTTATCTGGAAAGAGGACAAGTAAACCGTGGATTACAAAACAACTTAAAAACATGATTGCTAATAGGGACAAACTATTCAAATATTGGAAAAGTAAACCGAAAGATATGAACTTACGGCTTCAATATACTACATATAGGAATAGGGTAAATAAATGTATTAATAAAGCGAAAATAAGATACCGTCAAGAAGAAATTAAAAAGTGTAATAAAAACATTAGGAAAATATGGGCCAAAATTAATTCTTGGATAGGAAAAAAGAAAAATAGAGTAGATTCAGTGATATTAAAATATCTAGGAAGGACGGAAAGTATAAATAACATTTGTAATAAATTTTCAGAAACATTTACAAAAGAAATTTTAGATGCAAAACATATTTGTAGTCATAAGTTCTTAAACAGATCTACCTATGTCAATAAATGTACCATGTCAATACGGTTTCAAAAAGCCTACCCGAGGGATGTAGATAAATTAATTAATGCACTGAGCACTGATAAGTCTGAAGGTATTGATAAAATTAGAGTTAGAGAAATAAAGTTGTTTAAAACCAAACTGAGCCCTATAATAGCGTTATTCATTAACTTATGTGTTGAAAAAGGCTTGTATCCTGATCAATTGAAAACTGCATTAATAAGACCTATATTTAAACAAGGATCGCACAATGATTACTCAAATTATAGGCCAATAGCGATACTATGTGTTATAAATAAAATTATGGAAAAGTTCATTATGAATCAGGTCAGTATTTTTCTTGAAAACAACAATATATTGTCTAATGCACAGCATGGTTTCCGACGTGGGCGGAGCACGGCAACGGCATTGGCGCAGTTTGCGGACGATGTTAATGAGTGTTTGGGACAGAGGAAGCAAGGTGGTGGTGGTCTACATAGATTTCAAAAAAGCTTTTGATACCCTGGAGCACACCAGCTGCTTCAAGCAATGGGGAATGTGGTGTCGCGGGGCCACTTAACAGGTGGTTCCGTGCCTACCTTACAAACCGGACGTTGCAAACGGTTATTGACGGAGTCGTTGGAGAACCCAGAAACGTTGCATGCGGTGTGCCAACCGGGTCCGTGTTTGGTCCGGTCGGTTACATCATGCATGTCAACAGTATGTGCAATGTGGTTCGAAACTGCCGCATGTACATGTATGCTGATGATACCTGCTTGGTGTATGCAGATAATGAACTTGATGTTATTGAAAGGTATATTCAGGAGGATTTCATTAATGTAATTAAATGGGCGCATGATAACGGGATCGTAATAAACATAAAAAAAACTAAATGTATGCGTATACGATCTCCTTATCTTAAAGTCTGTGAACGTCCGCCTCGCGTGGTGGGGCATAGCTATGAATGCCTGCATAACGAAGATGCGGCGTACTGCGCTTGTGCAAATATTGAGGTGGTGGAGGAATACAGATACTTGGGTTTAGTAATAGATAACAGCTTTTCGTGGAAAACACATA